ACACGTAAATATTATAACGGTAAATACTGTAAGAAATTAATTATAAATTAATGATTAAAGATAAAAGATTTAAAAAATGGAATAATACCTTAATATTATTAAATTATTATAAAAATAATAACAATTAAAATAATTAATTTAATTATTTGGACGTTTAATATTATTTACGTACGTATTTAAAATGGGAGGTACATCAAAATTTATTATATGATTAATGCATTTATCTCCATGTTCAATTTTACATTTTTTAATTTCAAATTTCTCAAACCGATCTAGTTCTATCCCTTTGTTGAAACTATGTAACACTGTTGTATTTAAATTTGAATTGAAATTATATTTTGTTTCTTTTTGATGGTCCTTAAATTCCGAAAATTTGCTCGATTTAGGCAAGTGTTCTTTTACTCTCGTTTTTATTTCTCTACCGCTTTGTCCTATATATTTAACATCACAGTCATTACAATTAATTTGGTAAACCCGCTTTTCTCATTGAAACGTCGTGTTGGCGGTGGTATCGGCGGGTTCAGTTTTGCAATTCATGTCGAGAGACGTGGTTTAGAAATCCTTCAACCTGATGATGAGCTAAGGGCTCGAAATCCGGAAAACAACTTACTGTGAGTAGGAACTATTTTTTTTAAAAAAGGATTGAACACCGCACTCACTCCATCTTTCATCATTTCTATAGCCATGTTATTTTATAAAATTATAGCGAGTAGTAAAAAATATTTTAGTTGTATGTATTAAAAAAGCGAATATAAAATAAGCTGGATTAAATTATTATTCCGTGAAACTCGACGTTTATGGAACCTACATACTTTATAGCATCCATATATAGATTAAAAAGTTAATATAATCCCACAATTGATATAAAAGAAACGATGGCTGTCTTGTTTCTCATCGTTTCACCAATATTAAATGCCCAATACTTACCTATTTTAGTGCATTGCATCAAATTTTCAAGACATTTCGATAGTGAAGCGTTAGGTTAGGATTGAAAAGCACATTTATTGTGGATAAATTAAAATTGGGGATGAATCAATTACGCTACTGTGATCAAATATTTTGATAGTTGAAACCTTTTTTCCTATGAAATGTTAGAAATAAAATGGACTGAATCATTTTTACTATCTTATGTACTAACCATAAAAATGTAATCTTACAGATTGGACGTCTGGCTGAATCAGCTTCTCCAATGTTTTGCTTGGAAATAAAAGCTTTATTAAGGGCTGACTGCGTTTCCTTCCGGTCTGGGCTATTCCTCTCCTTGCCAAGCTTTTGATCGAGTTTGGCACTTGCTTGCTGTTCATATTCCACGGAATTCCCTCCACCTAATATCTTACACTTCATAGCTACCTCTCTGGTCAACTGGTATTTTACCATGCTGGAGTTGCTCAAGATGGCGTTCTGGTCCCACAGCTTACATCCCATCTTCAAAAAACACCACTCTGACCTTGCATACGTTAAAGCCTCTCGAGAAAGAAGAAAAAATTGGATACATCTAGACAGGCTAGTTGCTGCTTCTCCGGGTTTGTACATATACCTCCAGAGTATGCAGTTCTAGTCACCAGTCCTGCTATCACACTAGTTACAGCACCTAACTTTAGTAGTTCTGTCGTTAGGTTTTGTGATAGCCGTTTAATGAACTTTTCACCTCTGTTGTGGGATACAATCCCATTGAAAAGAAGACTTAACCCATCGTCTGATTAATACGTTTTTGTCAATTTGGTATGCCGCACAAGGGTTCATGGGCGGCATATACCCTCATTGTAATTTCCTTGGCCGAGTTATCGCCCTTCTCTTTGCCCCTCTGCCCCGTGTGCCCTGGTACTCAAACAAGAGTGATTTCGATGTTTTCCCCAATGACTGACGAGTCCTTGATGAGGTAGTTGCCATTAGTGCATCCTGAGTGTCTGAGTAGATGGCTACTATGTTCTTGACAAACCAAGCCTTTTAATCTCCCCGACATAGTGTTCGATAGCTACAGCCACCAGAAAAATGTGGCATATTGCGTAACGCCTATAACAATTCTAGCCCTTGGTTTATTGTCCTAGTTACCACCTCAACCCACTGGCGGTCATACATCCTGTTTACCAATTGTGGTAACTAGGTTCACTTTCTGAGTGTCTGATCTATCAGTTATTTTGATTTTCAAATTCTTTCAAATCTGAATTTTGGGATCATGGCATCCAATGATTGCTCCTCTTTTATTCGAAGAGGCTATTAGATTAGCCTGTGAGTATTAATTCTAGCCTCTCCAAGGATAAAAATATGTAAAGGTGGTAGATTCGAGAGGACTTCTAAGGCAGTACTGGGGTTTTCATGGATATGATAAAATACACTCCATTGGTTTCCATACAAGTATGCCAAGCAGGAGTTTTAAACTAGCAACGTACTGCTGAAACTATTGTGCTGAATACTAGAATTTTCAAATTTAAGCAACGGGTCCTGGAAACATGTAGGATTAAAGTGCACGCAGGCGTAGAAGGGAATGGAAGTAGCTGACCGAAGTCCAAAAAATCATTCAACTTATCACTCATTTCGCGTATTGAAAGGGACACCGAGGAAAACCACACCAAATAACGGAATCATAAGTGGCAGAAGACAGCAAATGGAAGCTACAGCAAAAAGTATTTCCATACCGTAAATGCCATACTAATAAAGTAGAAGGGGGATGAGTTACAACCCATGCCTTCCCTGCAGTTTAGAGTTTTAGAAATTATCGTCATTAAAATTCGCCTTCATAATAAAACCGTCGCGATTGCTGTTTGCTACAAGCCTCCTAACTTCAAACTGAATGTAAGCTTATTGGAACAATTTATCAAAATAAATAACTCATCATGGGAGAACTTAATGCCAAGTATGAAACGTAGGATTGGGTTCAATAAAATGAAACTGGTAACAAGCCGTATGGTCTCCCCCTCAAAAACAATGTTGAATTCTTAACATCACATTCAGCAACGATTTCCCACTTGCTGGTAGAGAGCAACATATTTTGGGTTTTTTCGTTGCTAAAAACATAGCTGTCAGAACAAGACCTATAAGTCTGACAGCCCTCAGCCAGATCACAACCAGATGCTTTTAAAGGATTTTGCAGCACGATTAAATTCAGTAATGCGAAAATTTCGGGACAACCTGAATCACCACATCTAACTGCCTCCAGATATTGCCAGTATTGAAAAGCAAACCGTTTTCAGCAATATAATCATGAATTGGGCTGAAGTAAGTATACCTACGAATATATTCTCAGTCAATAAAATGCATCTCCTCTCTGGCATTGCCAAGATCATTAGATTTAAAAACACAGTGCGGAAGCGATATCAAAAACATACGACTCCACATTTTAAGATGCCCCTGACTGTACACAAAAACATTGCTCCAATAATGTTAAAGCTATCCTGGGCTGCCTATATGTCAGCACTTAGGCTTGAAAACAGATCTCTATGGAAAGCTGTCTACCAATTTAGAACACAAAACGAGACAAACCGCATACCCATTACTTTAAATGGAATCATTGGCGCAACAGACACTGAGAAAGCCGGAGTGATGGTAGTTTCCTCAAATAAGCGTATGAGATAACAAAAGGCTCTGGTACAGCTTCTCACGACCTGCATCTACAGCACACCGTTGCCCAGTACATCAAGAATACCCCTATCAAGACTGTCTCCTTGCATCACCAAGTGAAGTGGCCAGGGTCAGAAAAGCAAAAATTAATTAAAAGGCTTGGGACCAAGATGGTGCTTCTAATATAACTTTCAAGTAACTTCCGCACAAAGCTTTACTACTAACAACTTACATTTTCAACGAAATCCTGTTATTTAAGTACTTTTCAACGAAATATTTCGAAAGTCCTATTCATAAAGAAAGGGGGAGACACCATGTCATCCCATCAAGCTACAGGCCAATCAGTCTACTGAGTAACATTAACATAATACACGCAGCATAATACGCTTGGAAGATCGTACTACTAAATCCTTAATAAAGAAGAGGAACAATTTGGATTCCGACGTGAACTAAGCACGCAGGTAGAGTTCAAAAAGATGCACACTGGGATGGCTCTATTAGATCTCGAAAAGGCTTTTAACACTGTTTGGCACGAAGGAACCATTGGCTAATAAAATATAACTTGCCTGCTTTTCAAATTGACGTTATTCACTCGTTCCTAAAAAACCGAAACTTTCTTGTCACATATGCCCTCTGACCCTCAAAATCATGGCCAGGGTCCCCAAGGATCAATCCGTATCTTATAATTGATATGGGGTTGGGGCTCTGGTACAAAGACCAATAGACCAACGTGAAAACTCAGTGGGAAATGAAACACTTAATATTTAAATGTCCAGTGTTTCAGAGGAAAAGATACCTACATCTGAAGTCTGTCCATCTGGAGGACAGCCAGACATAGAGAAAAGTAGTTAGGACTCGTATTTGCCACCTTCGGACTTTTATTTGATAACAATACTAAAAACTGTATTTTAAAGTGTAAGTAGTTGGACGGAAATTTCTCTTTGACGACAAGGTTAACTTTTTTTTTCATCATAGAGAAATTGCTTTCAAAATTGAAGTAATAATAACAAATAACGTACTTTTGTGATCAATCAAATAATCTTATATAGCAAGATAATATTCTCTTGCTTATTTAAAATTTGTCTATTTTTTTTTCTTGGGCTCTGTAGCACAAGTACTGTACTCTGTAGCAACTACCTCAAAATTTGTTCACAGCAGTGTAAAATTAGAAATAAATAAAACAAAAACGAAGCGGTTAAATTAAAATAAAATTTATTTTCCTTACAATGCACAAAACGGTAAATGTAACATAAAGCAATAAACGAACATGCAATACATAAAGCATTTACAAACAATAACAAACATGTAAACTAAAAAAAATATGAACAGGTTTTTGCCAAATGTTATCATTTTGTATCGCATAGATAGAAATAAAAATGAATCAATAAGCGGGTAAAATTAAATAAGGAACCGGCGTAAGAAAATAATCAAGTTTCAGTCACCTGGCTTAGAGGTCGAATTCTTTCGTGGATGCTGTGCTCGGCTTGGGTTGCGGAAGGTGGCGGATGATCTGGGGTCGGTGGCTGTTGATAATTCGTCGGGCTCAGAGGACAGGAGGACTTCTTCACATCGTTGTCGCCGTTTAACTTTCTCCTATCAAGGACGAAATCCGATGAGGGCTTGAAAGCGGGGACGAAGCCGGCCGGGCTCGCCTCGATGATGTGCAGCTGGTCCATGTTCGACACGGATGTCGTTTCGACTTTCTTGAACGGCAGGTCGCCCCTCGAGAGGATTACGGCTGGGTCGTAGTTCTCGTAGCTCTTGTCGTTCTGCAGCCGCCTCAGCTTCCTTTTGGGGTTGGTCGTCCGGAAGGGGATGTTTTCGTAAACGGATGTGATAGCGATCGGCTGGAATTTGGGGTCGTCTTCCGTGTTGAACTCCTCGCCCATAATCGTATACCTCAATTTCATATCGACGTACTGGTCCGCGGACTTTCCCCTCCTCAACATCTCCCTGTGGGGCTTGATGTTGCCGACGTTGATGTCGTCTAGGTCGCCGTGGCTTCGGACGCCGCTTCTGGCCAGAAATAAGTACTCGTAAGCGCCCATCGAACTCGGCGTAGGGTGAGTCGGGGAGACAGACAGATTTCTACGAGGAGGCTTCTTCGGCGGCGTCGGCTGAAAATGAAACCAAAATCATAAAATCAATGACATTGTCTCGACCCTTGTCAACCTACATGATTTTATTGGAATACGGAAATAATCAAATCAAAAAGTCTTCATGCTTAGGAAAGACCGAGCACAAATAAGCGTTGTTTTTTCCATATAAAATTCGTATTTAGGTGCTTTAACGTCGTTAACCGAAACCAAATCGCATTTTTTTTAAGAACAAATATTTTTGACCTGCAATACAAGACACTGCAAGTGTCTTCGTTCTTGTAAAAAATAAATATTTCCATAACCTAAATAGATTTTAATTGAATTTACTAACTCTTTATACTAACCCTATACATTACTCGTCATGTTCCCCATCCGAATGCCTCCGATTTTATTTTCGAAAATACATTTTTTTAGAGAGAAACTAAGTTAATGGTGGTTTTTGGCACCCTAAATAACCCTTGAAAAAGAAAATCTTACGGGAATAAAACTTTATCTAGTTTTTCGCCTTCCAAATGTCGTAAATACATTTTATAGTGAGAAACAAGGTTGATAGTGGTTTTTGGCACTTTAAAAACCACTGAAAGAAAGAAAGATTTTGTTTGATTTTTTTGGAATAAAAATCTTTGAGAAATGTTTAAAATTTTCCAAGTGCCTCATTGCGTTTTCGAAAATCGCCAAAATGTTGATAATTTTAAAACTATTTATTCAACTGAAGAGTAGGAGGAAATTTAACAGAGAATCTTATAAATTACTTATAATTGCATAAACTTGGCCTCTATACATAATTTAGAACTGGAGATAAATATAGATATTCGTTTACTGTACACCACAAACCCTGATGACAAAATTTTGGGTAAAAATAAAATAATACTTTCTCAAAATTGTTCACCTTCCGAATCCCACCGATTTTATCGAAAATACATTTTTTTCAGCGAGAAGCCAAGTTGATAGTGGCTGTTGGCAGGCAAAAAATCCGTTTTTTTCGATGCAACACATTTTAGCAGAGATAATAGGATTAACACAAGGATCGTGAATACCCCTTGGAGGATTTCAAATGCAATAAAAGAAAATTTAATAAACTGTCATGTGCAGGAATTTTCGAGGACAGTTCATGAGCAGGTCCTTAAAAGGATCCAACTAGTCCAAAACAAAAATAAGCAATTCTGGTACTGACTCAAGTCTGCTGGATCAAAAAAACAATAATAATAGTGAATAATTTTAATTTTGTGGAAAGTTGATTTTCCGGCCAATGGGAGATTGGGCAAATTGGAGTATGCATGTTTATGTAATATTACAAAATCTACTCGAGAGATCCAGTTTGTATAACCGCATTTAATATCTAATGGCAAGTTGATGATTGCAGTGTCGGCGGATGGATAATCAAAGTGGCAGAATTCACAGAATGAAGCTGTAATGAATGATCGAGTTAGGGCTACATAATATTCTAGTAATGCAAATAGTCACACCAGCATTTCGCGTCTTTCTTTGTTTCTTTGTTATAATTATTACATTGCAATAATTATAACAATTATAAAATGGCTTTGAATATTGACGGCGATCACTCTAACTGGTATAATATTATGGAGGGGAAAATTTCAAGCCGATTTGTTTCATGTTTTATTGACATTGTAAAATATTTTACCGAACATGGAGCTTGTTTCGGCTATTGCCGAAGAAAAAATAATAATAAAGAAAAAAAAATATAATGAAATGAAAGTAAACGAATTCAAATAAAATAAAAAAAAGGTGAAATTAAGCAATAATCTGAACGTAAAGTAATCCGGAATCTTCGCAAGGAACCAAATAGTCACAATGAAGAGCAAAAGTAAAAAGATATTTAGCACCAGTCACGAGTCGCCCTCGTCGGAAGAACCGGCTTCCGCGTCGAGCTCGAGCGGGCCTCTGCCAGAAAGAACGTGTTTTGCAAATCGTGATGGTCTCCCGTCAGTCTTCTCGGCCCCTTTTTGTGACCAATGATGGCTATTTGCACGGACTCGTTTGATAAAGAAATGAAGTGAAAATAAAACTTATGGTTAGCGGAGGAAATCGTAAGAGTCGAGAGAAACGTAAGAGTGTACAGCCTTCTCTCATGCCTGGAGAGCAACAACTGGATTAACCGAGACCCCCCTCTTTAAGATCAACGGTTACCTTTAACTGTGATTCAAAATCAAATTACTTACTGGCGTATACAAAGCTAGTGGTGTTGAAATTGGAAATAAAAGAGAATTGACCTTATGCTCTTATTTGCGGACGTTTCAGTGATTTTGGCTTATTCCTGACAAGATGCACAAAATAAGCTAAATACCCTGTCAATGCAAGGTAAATGATCTCAACGTCAATACTGATAAAAGCATGGAATTAGTTTTCCGTAAGGAAGTTCGACTATAGAATCTGTAAAATCTTAGGTTTATCTGGGAGTCCCCTTTAACGCCTCTGGGAAATTCTCTCTTGCTGTGATCGTTTTATTTCAAAAACAAATTTGGCATCGCCCTACAGATAATTGAAAGTATTCCTCACTAAGTTTGTCAAAAATCTACTGTTTTGGACATTCTACTCCAAATTATTTTGTGAGATTAGATTCAAACTTAAAGAGTATTAAATTATCCATATTTAAAAGTGTTATAGAAATTTGGGCTGCAAGTATCCATACTGCCCGAACACAGATTCCATGTGTTGACTGCACAAATTCCATTCTATTATTACAGAATTGGACAATTAATGTTAATCTGCTTTTGTCTTCTATTGGCGAGGAAATTTTTTGACATAATATTCCGTATCTTTAAATCTTTAGTTAGAAAATACTCAAATCGTATTTTGTCACTGAATATTCATTTAGCGCTCAATTCGAATTAATATCCTGATATCAGAATGATGTAACAACCTGGGTCGAGGCCTGAGATTAATCAGCCAGATTAAAATATGCTACGTAAATAATATAGCCATCTATAAAAGGATACACCTTATGCAGACAAAGGTTGCTCGATGTGTCCCACATAAGTACAACAGAGAAATAAAAATACTTTTAAAAAAATTCCGAAACCAGAGCCTATTCACAATATGTAGCGGACAACGTTTTCGATACTTTGGAGTGTAGAATCACCAAAAAAAGTTTGATCCAAATTCGTGACCCACCAACCTGGTCGACCAGGTACCTTGTAACTTGTACCTTGTAAGAGTAACAGACTCAATTGCTGTGAGAACCTTTTTCATTGCGCCGAAATCTTGGCACTACGATATTCAAATAATATTGAAAAATCTGTATTTTAAAAAAAAAAAAAAAAAAAAAAAAAANAGGGGGGGGGGTTGGATGAAGACTTGTCCCTAATGGATTGCAAGGCACTACAACAATCACAAAATATTATATTATTTTTTTGGTACGATTTAATCTCATTTAATGCTCGTAGGATAGCCATTAATTTTCCGCTGAAAAAGTGACGGCAGTCTAAACTTTGTGGTTGTTGATGAATGAATCTAACATTTTGGATCCGTCAGTATGTACCGTTACCGAGGTTGTTGTTTTTATTTAGAATTTCTAAGTATCTTTATTTCAGTTCAAAATGACTGGTTTTTTTTTGAAAAATTTAATAAATTCAAGATAAAATTGACATTTGATAGTAACCAAGGAGTATGTTTTAGAATACTTTTATAGGTGGGAGCCTTTACGTCGTGATAAACTTGTGAGCCCTTTAATAGAAAGGAATTTGAATCATGAATGCTTTCATATAAAGGCGAGGTTGAATTTTGCTATTAAAAAGAGTATGCTTGGAATTGGTTTTGATTTTTGTGAACATCGAAACTACGAGACATTGCCTTCTCCTAGTTAGATACATTCCTCAGTGTCGGCTAATAAGCTAACAATCGGACTGGATTTAAAGGCTGTAGTGCGAATCCTTAATGTCCTATAGTTTACAGGGTCTAATTTTTGTACGGTTGACTTACTCGCCGAATCGCTGTGGCTCCATAATCAAGTCTTGACCGTATTAGCCATTTATAAAACTGTAACATAGTGCTTCCGTCTGTTCCCCCCGGTTTGTGTTGCTTAGAATTAGAATAGTAGTCAGTCTGGTTCGTACAGATCGATCTTAATTACTTAATGTAAGGTTCCCATGTTAATTTTTTGTCAAAAACCGCCCCTAATGATTTATCTGTGGATGCTGAATTTATTCGGTAGTTTTTGTATAACCGTTTGGGCTCGTGACCATTTCTTTTCGTATTAAAACTGGTCACATGTGATTTTTCAGGAGAAATTTTAAAACCGTCATCTTCAATCCATTTTTCAAATGTGTTTAAAGATTCTTGAAGTGCGTTTGTGTAATATCAATAGATTTGTGAGACGTGAAAAAGGCTGGGACATCCACATACAACGCGTATTTAACAATACCTGGGGCGAATATGTCGTTGATTGCTATGGTAATAAGTTAGGACTGAGCGCACATCCCTAACGGATGACGTTAACTAAACGATATAGGCTGGAAAAATGATTTCCAATCCTAGCACGAAATGTTCTGTCATTCATCTTTAACGAAATGAAGCATATGTCCTTCAATACCCCATAATTTTAGTTTATTTAAGATTCCTCTTCTCCAAGTAGTCTCGTATGCTGCTTTTTCCAAGTCTAAAAACAACGAAGGCCACTACAATTATTTCCTTTTTTTTAAAGGCTTCCAAAATTTCAGTCTATAAAGTTGTAATATACTCTATGCAGGAACGCCCTTTCCTTGACACAGACTGTTGTGGTGCAAGGAGATTGTGCAATTCTAGATAACACATAAGACGTCTGTTTATCATTCTCTCGAGCAATTTACAAATACAACTTGTTAATGAAATAGGCCGGTAGATGTGGGGCAAAGTTTTACTTTACCAGGTTTTAGAATCGTGATTATCTTGGTTTCCCCCATCTTTTTCGCGAAATATTCTATTATAAAGTTTTAATAAGCGTGGTTTAAAGGACGGAGTTCGGGTTTTAAGTATGTCAAGTCCACGGGAGGATCCTTTCACTCGTTCAAGAGTGTTATCCACCAGCAAATCGTACATGGTAAAAGTCAAATTTAATGTAATTTCATCAATTGGAGGGTGAGGAATAAAAAATTGAAAATACGTTACAGTTGGGACTTTTTGGTTATCGTACGTCTTGTCAATTCTGTAGACATCAGTTACAAATTGATTTAATAGTTCAGCTTCTATTTCTGATTCGGAAACTTTACTCAATTCTGGGGCACAAATAACTCCTTTACAATTTAATGACTTGTGCCCCTCGAGGATTACCGAGGTGGTACTTTTTAAAAAGATAGTTCCTACTCACAGTAAGTTGTTTTCAACGATCCGGATTTCGAGCTTTTAGCTCATCATCAACCTGATCTCGCTGAAAACAACTTACTGTGAGTAGGAACTATAGGATCGTTGAAAATAACTTAATGTGAGTAGGAACTATCTTTTTAAAAGTATTGAACACCGCACTCAATCCACCATTCATCATTTCTACCGAGGTGGTATGCAAAATTGTATGCGCAAGTAGGCGCTTTGTTTTTTATTGGTGCTCTCAATCAAAATTGTTCCGTTTCCAAGTTTTTTCATAGATTTCTGCGTTCCCGCAACCGATATTATTGACCACTTAACTATGAAAGGGGAGATTTTGGCTAAATTTTGCTTTGGGTCAGTGGGACTCATTACAAGAAATAATGGCATTGAATTAATTGTGGGCTGTGTTACTTGAGAAGATTCCGAAACTAAATTTTCTATATACAGGAAATAAAAGAAAGAAGAAAAAAGAAAAATAACTTGAAAAACTGATAAATACCTATTTGTACGATTATAAACACGAGAGCTGTTGTTTACTATTAACTAAGATTAGATCTACAGAATGTTACAAAAACCAAAAGACGCTTCCGGTAAAGTCGGTAGTGGTTCATAGAACATTTTATGGATTTTGATTTGATCACATCTTCTCACTCGAAATCCTACTGTATTTTTTATAGTGATTCCTTTTTATGGGCTGTAAAGGGTAAATAAAACATCGCAATTTTTCCCCTCATTGAAAACTGTTGTTTATCCTACTTTACTGGAAAAATCTGTTGGTTTTTGTCATTTTCATTGCTTAATCTCAAACAAACGCATACACTGATTTGGTCTAGTAGTAAGTATCGTTTAGTTTTTGTAACTTTCATTTTTCTTAACCTCATTTAATACCTTACTGTACATTATTTTATATATCCTACGTAAATCGATGATATTATATTCTTTAAATTTTTTAAAAATAGGTGTAGCCGCCCAAAAAAGCTATTTTTTGTTTGCTATCAAAAATCATATTTATTTATTTATAAATATATTTTAAAAAATTTATCGGGCCTTAGGGCCAAAAAATCCCAAAATATTTATTTTTTATTTGGTATCAAAAATCATATTTAAGGGTTTTAAAGGGTGCTTAAGACGAATCCGATTTTTTTTTTTTTTTGTAGAAAAATGTTATTTCGGTCTGGAAGAATCTTTTGGTTTTGTAAAATTGTCATGGTTTAATCTCATTTAATACCTTCTTGCATATATCTTATTTGATTTGTTTACTATGAATATTCATATTTAAGGAATATATCTTGTTATTTAATACGATCCTGATATTATTTTTAAGCCCAGTTGAAAATATATGGACTGATAATTATAATTTTCCTGAAAGACATGCACTTTTTTTCTTAACTCTTGTTGGCAAGAACGCTCAGACCAGTATAATATTTTTTACGAAGTATGGCCACAAAACGTTTGTTATAAATTATAAATAGTGATCCATACCCTCAAACTTTGTCAATCGAAATACCTTAAAAAACACTCGTTTATTGATTATTTATGATAGCGAGAAATATAAATGATGTGTTATCACCTAGTGTTAAAATTTAAAACTTGATTCAGAAATGATTTCACATCAGAGAGAATTATTAATATTGTTAAAAGCCACAGTTCATGGCCTAAGAATCTGTAACACCTTTGTCGTTCCAAAAGATAATCTCAAAAGTAAAAAACAAAACTAAACCTAAACAAGTACGTAGCACATATACTCCATTTTCGATTTTTGTGTGTGAACTATTGTAAGGATGAAAAAAAGAAGGATTTCGTGCCTCGAGGATAATTTCATATAATAAAAATCAACTTACTCCATTTAATACTCTACTCATCAATGGGTTTAGTTAAACCGCTCGGCATATCAAAGGGTTATCCTTGAAGAGGATTCATTTCACAATTATGATAGAACTTACAGAAACCTTATTGTTGGATCCTGGGCTGGGCGTCATGGGTATGTAGAGGTCCGTGGAGCGTCTGGAAGAGGGGCCGCCTATGCTAGACGTCGATGATATCGAAATTTGGTCCGGGTCCCTTCCGTGACTGCAGCAGGAGTCCTCCGACATGAAGCTGCCCTCCAGCATCGATTTAGACAACCCGCAGGAGTTACTCCATTGGTAGTGCCTGCTGTCCACGCTTCTGCAAGCCCCTTCGGATTCTCTGTTGAAAAAATAGCTGGTCAAACGCATGTTTTAATCACCAAGTGGCATACTAAGACAAATAATTTGCAGAACCTAATACCCGCAACAACTATGTGAGATTTTCTACATGTGGTCTGCCAATCCTAGCTGGGCTGGTCTGTCAGATGCTGGGTTTTATTTTTTTATTTTTTTTCTGGCAAGACACACCCAAAACTGAAGATAGCGAACAGAGCAAAACAGCGGGGATATGAAGACTAAAATGATCGGTAATGACCAAATTCAGGTTCATCAACCAGCAGACTACACAAAAAATGTCACAAATAGAAAAGTTCATTTTTAAATAAATTTTGGCTTAAACACTGGGAGGTACAAAAGCAACACGTGTTCGGTCGAAAAGATACTTGTTTATTAACTTCTCAAAAGCAGTCTCGGAAGGTTCACTTTTTTAAGGCAGTGTTGCCAAAATGGTCGCCACACTACCATAACTCACTTTGGAATTGACGACCTAAGTCTGTTGTCAATTTATATATGTTGGAATACCAAACCTTGCCGTCCAACCCGAAATGAAAGCTTTGCTTACCGATTCCGCCGTTTGGTCGCAAATCGGAAATGCCTCCAGCCAGCGAGTAAAACGGTCGATGGCGGTCAAAAGGTACTTGAAACCTTGACAAATAGGCAGCGGCCCCACGATGTCGAGATGTACGTGTCTAAACCGACTCTCGGGGACAGCAAAATCGGACAAAGGTGCTTTGGTATGTCGGTGAATTTTACTTCGCTGGCAGGAAACGCACGACTTGGCCCAATTTGCGACGTCTTTTCTGATTTCCGGCCAGAAATATCGCTCGGTAATTAGTTTAACGGAACCGCGAGTTCCCGTATGGGATAAACCATGTAGCCTGTCAAAAATCGATCGACGAAACTCTTTCGGAATATATGGCCTTATCCGGCCCGTGGAAACTTCACAATAAATAGTTTTGCGCTTATCTGGGTAGGTGGCGAAGCGCAGGTTAGGCCATAGAAGCAGCTCCTGCAATTCCTCGCCGTCTTGCTGTACTGCCAGCATGTCGTAATCCAGAAAAGAAGGAAAATTGATCGTCTCCACCCTTGAAAGGGCGTCAGCTACAACATTACTTTTTCCTTTTAAACGTTGCAGGTCCGTAGAAAATTCCGCTATAAAAGTTAATTGTCGTGTTTGTCTCGGTGAAGCTTTCTCTAGCTTCTGGTTGAAAGCATACACTAACGGCTTATGATCAGTATAAAAGGCGAAGATGTTTCTATGACAAAAACCGAAGGTGCTCGAGTTTGCTGTACACCGAGAGGTGTCTGAAGTAGCGTTGATCCGTCGATTAGACAAGAACGCCGCAAATCAGGCAGTAGGTTAAAATGTCTAAGTAGGCCTGCACCTATTATTGGTTGAATTACGGTAGTAAGTAAAAATGGCCACTGAAAACAACGACGCAGACCCAAATTTAGGTTAATTAGCTTAGTGCCGAAGGTGTATAAAGGTGAACCGTCTGCGGTAACTAAAGAGAATTTTGAAGGTCCACGACATTTATCTTCGCTTGATACTGGCCATACTGATACGTCTGCGCCGGTGTCGATTAAGTATTTAATATTGGAAGTTTTATCAGTGACGAATAGGTGGTTATTTATACCTCGACTGCAATCCGCCACTTGTAGCCGAGGATTTATTTTTCCGGTGCGGTAACGTAAGAGCGGGGGGGTCGACATTTAGAAGCCCTGCGACCGAAAGTTGCATGGTACCAGCAAAATTCCACGTTGTTTTTGTTGAAAGGTGAGGAACTTCGGCTTCGTGGTAAAATCTGGTTATTACTGCGATTATTATTGCGACGATTTTGAGTTCTAAGCTCACTAATCTCTAAGCTCATATTTTCAATTTTTCGCGCCAGTTCAAGTAAACGCTCATCCGTTAGGGAACATTGACTAGGTTTAGGTGAAACGTCTGATTGCAATGGGCATAATCCTGGTCTTTGCACTTCCATCATCTTATTTGCCATCGAAATTAATTTTCCGGTTGTGACTTCGTCGCCGAGTACCGATAAAGTTGAGTGTACATTGCTGGCCAATCGTTGTAGCCAAAGAAATCGCAACAATTCCTCCCCAACTTTCGCTCCACCTAAATCGCGCATTTTTCTGAATAATTGTGAAGGCTTCTGATCTCCTAGTTCCAGCTNTCTCTTTCTCTTTCTTTCTTTCTCTCTCTCTCTCTCTCTCTCTCTCTCTCTCTCTCTCAAGTAAATGAAATCTTGGCAAAACATTAACTCTAATCCGCTTAGTAACTTTGCTTATCTATAAGTCAAGGTGACTAAGGTAGAAGAAAATCGCTACTCTTTGGAAAAGGCTGTGGAAAAGTTGGAAAAAGAAAAACCTACGGATCTACTACCAGTATTGAAGAAATTAATCGTTGAGGATATAGCGAAACCTTGATAGCGATAGTATATAGCGAAACAAATCAACTGAATAAATTAATCGGTGTAATGTGATAGATCTATGGCCATGATGTTGAATAAGGACGTACACGTCTTTCGCATGCATGTTTATATGTATATATTTTCCTTTTTGCATGTTTTTGATGGTTGGCAAAGTGTAAAAGGGACGTTGTGTTGCATACAAATCTGTTCCCAAGAGGGTGGCCCCGAATTAAACCAGTGAAGCTGTTACTCTAACGAGCGTGATGACGAAGCAGGAGTTTTAGAGAATAAAAACTTCGTCTACTTTGACAAATCTAGTACAGTATCTGAGTAATTAATTACTCAGTTATAACCTAATGATGAACAAAAAAACCAACGAAGAAAGTGATTATTTGGACGAGGTTTCTATCACGTTACATTTAGCCGTGAAATAAATGCCATTCGACGGAGTCCAAGATGGCCGAGTGGTTAGGATGTCCGACTCGTTTTGCCACGCTAGGCGGTTCTGGGTTCGAATCCCGGCGAAGCCTATAGCTTTTTCATAGATAAATTGTATGAAACAAAAATAGTTTGACCCCTCTTCCCGTCACCTAAGGGTACTAGTTGACGTTAAGCCCTTCCTGTAGGGCAGGGAATTATTTTATTTTTCCTTTTTTTATACCTCTGCACAGTTACCTACCTAAGGCTGTAGCAATATTAACAACTTACATCTGAGTATAGTTGTTTAAATTTGAAACAAAAATAATATAAACTACTGTGCACTTGTATTTTACCTACAAGATTTCCAATTTCCCCGTTGTTTTAACCATTTTTTGTTGATTTAACGAATCCTCTGAAATAAAAGTTCATTCTAAACTAGTGAATCTTACGAAAAATAGCACATTGAACAATTTGCCTTCAACTTGGTGACATTCCATCGCAAATCCCCATATGCAGAAACGTAATGGATATTTTAAATTAATTTCATTAATTAGTTAAAAATTAGGAAAATGATATCTGAGTGAGGTGGTATATGGGGTCTAATTAAATTAAACTCACTAAATGTTAAACTTATGTTGATGCTCTTCTGGAACGTAATGAAGCTTTTGGCGGCGACGAAATTAAGCTTTTACCGAGCCCCGAACGATAATAAAACTGTTTGAGGGCATTAATATTTGTTTTTATTAGAACGGTTTCAAATTGGTTTTTAGAAAGTAAAAGATGTTTCTTTTTTTGATGAACAACTTACTGCGATATGGCGGAAGCCTGAGATATTCTCCTATGATCCGAGTGCCAATGAGTTGGGGAGGAAGAAGGAGAATTGTGCCGCATAGGAAGACGTACGTTCTCGTAAGGGCTGCCTAACGAGGGAACGGGGATCGGTGGAAGAGAATCATCCCCGTCGCTGCAGTTATCTTGTCTGTGTCCTAATGTGAAAAATAGAATATTCAACCTCATACTGAAGTAAAAAAAATTCAAAAGGGAAAGTAGATGGAACTTACGTTTTATTAAAGTAGTTATATCTTGTACCACGTGTGGTGGGAATTGCTGGAGTAGGTCGTAGACAGTGTTGCTCCTTGCGTCCCTTAGCGATAGATCAGCGCCGTGGTCAAGTAAAGTCCTAACTACCTCGAGTTTGCCGCAGAGTGCAGCTTCATGCAGCGCTGTCCCTGATGCCGTCCTCACGTTCACCGCCAATCCGGAGTTGAGCAGTACCTCCACAACACCCCTGAAAGATTGTTTTTAAAACCTTGCTCAAAACCTCACGAAAAATTCGACACTTACTTGTGCCCGTTTCTGCTGGCTAGGTGGAGGGGAGTATGCGGTATGGAAAGGAGACCACCGGTGTTCCTGACGTTGTAAGCGGCGACGAGTTCCGGATGAGTCCTAACCAGGGTCTCCACCGTTTCCAGCCTTCCATACTGGGCGGCGAGGTCGAGGGCGCTCTCATGCCTAATGTTTCTAATCGTAGGATCACAGCCATGTTCTAATAGTAAACTAACAACCCCAGTATTTCCATATTGAGCAGAACAATGTAAAGCTGTCTCTTTGTCTTTATTCTGAAAATAACAAAACAACCAGTTATTAGAAGAAGGAAATTAGAAAAAATAGAAGAAAAATAGAAATTTGTATCATAATATGAGGATCCACATAGACATTTTTTAATGACAAGCAGAAAAACTGGCCAGAGGATCCTTATAAAGGACACTTGCATCTGAGGAACACCGACACAACATGAGTATAAACAATAATTTGTAGGTTATGTAATGAAGAGAAAGAAACTGCTACATTGCAGTTGCAGAATTGCAATCAATGACTACGTCTTAAGAGAAGGATCAGATCAACTTAACTGAACTAAAAAACTAGGTAAAGTACAATAAGCCAGAAGGATGGAGTGCTTTGAGGATTATAAAAGCCACGCATCCGTACTTAATATGATCATCACCACTGTCATTGCCCACTAGTCATGTAAAACTACAGCTTCACAAATAAAAGTACAGCAAATTGTAATTTAAAAGACACAAACGCTCGGTAAAATTTCCATTATCGGGGTAATGACCAAGATAGGTGGAGTCAGTGGATAATCGAAACCCCCAGATAATACTAGATAAAGGTTAATTGACGTAAAAAATATCATTACTGCTAACCTAAAATTCCGTAGTTTTCTGTTAATCGTTAAGTCTTGTGTGGGGATTTCACGTCAGTCAAGGGATAATACTAACTATCTGACTTGAGTAGAATTCGGTAGGCCCTTGTTGATGTACAGAGGAGAGCAAGTCTGTGTTTTCAGTTTATGTTAAATACTCGTTCAGTTTTGTCATTCACTTTTGACAACAGTTTTTGATAAACTCAAGGTATTATTGTATATTAGAGGTTACTTGGATAGGATTCGGATTAAAAGACAGTCGTCCGCATAGGTGGTGGGCTGTGTAAGAAAGTCAGCAGTATAAATAGAATTCAGTATGAGACCAAAAATGCCCCATTGTGGGACGCCGGCCTGATATCTCCGTATTCGTTGCAGCAGCGAACAGGTAAATAGGATTCCACGATTCATAACGGGGTGGTAAGGAAGTGTTTAACTACATAAAGGATGCCTGTGTTCCAGAACCTATTTCTTTGTTCTCTAGAGCAGAAGAAATGTTGTCACTAACTCGGAAATCTGCTGGATCATGGAATGATGGGGACGGAAACCGAATTGGTGAGAAGGAATGATTTTATGTGGATGTTGGATGGATATTACGTTTTAAATGGATTCGATATCATACGAAGGATAGGTAGAAGAATATTACGTTAGGATGTTTGTGAGCTTTAGGAATGAAATGAAGTTGACGAAACTGAAGTTTGGTCGTTTCTGTCCAATTTGGTCTCTCTATTTTCGCTTCCGTAAATTGCTTTTCGGTTCCGACCCATGATAGCAAGTATAGGTAGACCAGTAGTAGAGTCGTAGAAGTACAGTCGTATAGACACACCCATAAGAACTTGACCACGCAAAAATATAATAAATTCTAGAAAAACAGGTTGGAAGGCACAAATAAGCTTGACGATTTTGGGATAAAGCCAAAACGAATCTGTTCGACGGCAAAACGGCGTAACAAACAAGGGATCAATGATAAATTATAGAGCTAACGAGGTAACTTTTTAGTTTTAAGTTACTGCGTGAAAAATCTATTTGGAAATTTTGTTTTTGTTCAGAATTACGATCATACTTCCTTCTAGTTAGGATAATCTTGCTATATTGCTAAAAGTCCAGGCGCGTTTTGACATTTTACTTAAGAACTAAACACATTTTTGTGACATATATTGTTCAAGTACAATGGTTCAATTTATATAATGTTTCTCGTCCTATGACAAGCATAGGCAATTTCTGAAGAAGGGCTTTAAATTTCATCGACATCGATTTAAATTAAATCTCAGTTTCAAATGGATCCGAGCAGGCATCACCAGGACGTCATTATCATCTCACTGGAGCCGGGATGAAGAATCGCACGTTGATGAGAATGCAGTTAAGATAAACAGAACTAATTTGTGATCGGTGAAACGTGACGGTGTGATTGGCAGGAGGGACGATAACTTGAGTGATGATGTGATATGGAGGGTTGTGTTTTTGACGGACTCCCCGTTATTCCGCATGGGTAGTGTCCCGATCGAGTGCTCCCCTTCACCTTTTCGAATTACTCGGAGCGTTAAATGAATGCAGATTAAAAAACAGCTAAGAACTGAACTAGAACTTTTACAAAACGTACTATCGCGTATGATAGTATCTTTACTGGGTTAAACCTATAACGCAAGAAAACAAAGCTAGAATTGTAGTGTGTTGTTTATAGGGTTTTTAATATATGTTTTATTTTTATGGCTTAAATCAACAGTGCAACCACTGAAACCATAGACACGCTTTCTTTGCCTCTTACCTTTAATACTTGATCTATTTGTTGAACCATACTGGGTGTCTCACTGGGCCCGTCTACACTCGCCGGTTTTGAGTATATTATATAGTTACATTACATTTTTTCTCACAGGGTTCCTCTTTGCTTGTGTTCTTAGCGCTTTACGAAGCGTTTGTTACGTTTCCGGGATAATGCAGTCACCTATGATATGTTCCGATGTTCCTGGTTGTTTCATGGCAGACTCGGCCGGTTTTCCCATTTTTAAAGGTAGTAATTAACTGGGCAATGGTCAGTGTAGAAGTTTTTTTTTGTTTTCCTGGTTGAGGAGCTAAGAAATTTCTTTTGTTCCTTTGCACCTGATGTATTTCAGCCAGTGTTTGTCCGCTTTTAGCATTCTTTAGGGCGTGCCAGTCGATTTGCGGTTCTTGTCCAAATGGTGTCTGATCCTGCTTTTGCTGGTTTGCCAGCCCGTTTGTTGCCTCAATCCTCCAGTGTCCTAGCATTGACATTAGACACTGAGCTCCTTTTTCCCACAAGAGATATCTTAAAGCCTTCCCAGACAAGCTTTAAGTCGAACGTAGAAGCGTCTAAAGCCTTCAGTGCTTCTTGGCTGTTTGAGAATATATCTGTGGTCTGTCAAATATTAATTTATTTTTATCCTTTTTCCTTATGGGTTTCGTAAGTCACCCTCCGCATATATGTATGCAACGATGGCAATTCTAGAGTCATTTCTTGTGCTGAAGTTGAGCATGTATATTGACACGCTTCAATTCGGGCCGACATACATGTATCCTAAGGTCTAACAGCCTTATAGGATATGGGATGTATCAATTATGAATAAGAGTATAGGGGCATGTCAGAAATTAACAAAAGAAATGTAATGGTATGATTTAATTAATGCGTATTTAAGAATAAAAATACGCGTAAACAAAAAACAGCTGTTAAATTCATGGCTTCCATGTTGATACATACGTCCTAACGGATAGCAATGTGACTACATTTTCGACCTAACATCTAACATTGGCCCTGGCCGAGAGATCGAGCAATGTTAACTAGCCGATTCATACAAGTCTATGTCATCATTTTTCTCGACTTAACAGGACTTAACAGTGTTAACAGGGTCGTGAATACCCCTATTATCCCGTTTATAGTCGATGAGCAGAAGTACCCTGTATGTCCATGAAGCACCAGGGTGTTTAGGACTGTTCCCGTTGATGTCAAATGCATACTTTTTTGTTGGTAATTTAGTCTCAATAAAGAACCGTCCCATACATTTAATTTTTGTGCTTATTTTTTAACTTAATTTCTATTTTTATAGATAGATTATATGCTACTGATTCCTCATTCAGCTTATCTGCAGCCTCTCTGTCATAATTATGTGTCTATCTTTCCAATAATTTATATGACTCATAGCACCAATTCATAGTTAATCTATTCTGCTAACTCCTAAAACAACAATACCGCGATTATTGTTATTTATAATGTATATCCAATTGTGTGCCTAACAAGCATTGTCCAACGCCTTTGTAGTTTCTACTTTCTCATTTTTAGTATGTAATCTAACTACGTACATTGGACTGTGCAAGCATCATCCGCTGTTTACAAGTAGCTGTGCATATGGTAATATATTGTTGATTTAAATAACTTTTTAATGAAATTCCATTGACCTTTTTTAATAATGCAATCTCCTGGCCTATCAATGGAATTATTGCATTATCCGAATTCCAGGTTTACGGAGTGGGCCAATATATGTATATATTTCCAAGTGATTGTTACAACGTTCAATCGCATTATAAAATGTTAACTGGTATAGAAACGTTAAACAACATCGTTGAATTTATAATATAACAAGTCGATACATTTTTCAGCAGTTTTCTTAATCATCCTGCTGACCATTACCACGGTGTACAAGAGTAACCGAAAAGGTGGCGAAATGAAGAAACGTGGAGTGAGAATAGGAGGCGAAGGAACTCGCTAATCGACCAAAAACTTGTAACTGATTTTATTTTTCTCGTTCCCTTTTTAAGACGAACTGAAACTTTTTAAAACAAACGAACGGTACAAGAACACTGAAGCCTGTTGAAAACAAAAACTATCAAAGACCCCGTCGCATTGGCATGCCGAGTCACCATAATTGGCAACCCCTCCCATCAAAGAACTTTTACAACGAACTTTAAATGGGACGAGTAAACGACTGTCGTTCATAAAGAGACCAAGTTAAAATTTGAAACCTATCAAATCCGATGAGTTCTTTGACACTGGGACGAAAATTAAAAATATACATGTTGAAATTAATACCCCCCCCCCAAACGCTACGGGTCCCGTTGGCCTTTCCACTTCATAAACTGCATCGTGTTCAACACTGTCTTAAGATATATTATGATGCTTGCGAATTCTTATAAGAAATTTGATTGTAAAGGCTGAGTGTTTAAGAAAAAATATGATAGGACATACTATTACTAATCTCAAATATCAAGAAATGTTGCACTATATCAAGAAATATTCCTAAAAACGTCTCAAACATAAATCCCCGCAATCGACGCTTTCTGTTGTAAAAGGCACTATACTGTGCAACGGCTACAGAACAAATAAGATATCTAGCAAAGATTTATTGTGTCAGTCTGTGTTTCAAGCTCTTCTTCTTCTTCTTCCTGTACCCCATCGGATAAGGGACG